GAATCGAGTTGCCAAATGTTAAGATGGCAGCGGGCCGCCGACTCGGGTGCAAAGACAATGGAGATGCTTCCACTGAGGCCTCATGCAGTGCAGGATTGACAGCTGGCTGTTGCGGCTGGAGCAGTTCCGGCTACCCCCTAGGAGGTGGGAGGCAAGGGATGACTGACCCATCGTCGTCCAGACCGCGGGAACAAGAGTTTCTAGCGGTGAGTTGGAAATTTCTACACTGACTATAGCTTGAGGCGAAAGACGTCAGTAGGTTGCCATTCTGCCCTAGAAGTGGATGCAGTCTGTAGAAGCCATGGGCTGGTTCTGGTTTTGGCAGAGGGGCTTCCGGAAGCAGGAAAATCGACCGTTTTCAAGAAGCCGAGTCAGGTACGGTTCACAAAGCGTGATGAGCAGTGGGTCCATGGCTCATCTGTCGTCCACATGATGGAGTCTAGAGGTCATACTACAACGGGGGACGGCAGACCTCGTTCGGAGTTTGACGCTGTCGGGGATATCCTGTCCCTTGAAAACGAGACGCCGTGAGTCGAAGAGGAGGTCGGATGTATGGGAAGAGAGGTTCAAACTGTGTATCGTGTGCATCGGGATGCTGGCGAGGCACAGTAATCCGATGGAAAGCTTACTGGGTTCCTTTGACTTGCAATCGAATGTCATCACCCCTAAAGAAGCTTGGCTTGAAGGACAGTGACAACGTTGCGGCTTCGAGGTTACGACAGCAGTCGTAAACATAGTCGGTGTCTCCGCCTAGACGTACTCTTGATTGACCGCCATGTCTCGGAAGACAGGGAGCGAGGCGGCAGATCAGGAGGCTGATGGACGGTTGGGTGAGGATACCGTGCTAGTGGTAAGAAAAGTGAATCGAAGAAGAAAAAATTTCCAGCATGCATGTGATAAGGACCAAAGGAGTGCTTCTCGAACTTGTCTCGGGTTCTCTCACTCCTCACTAGGTTGCTACCAGTCACCCGCTAGAGAATCTTGAGTCTGTAGCACGACAGAAGGCAAGCTTGAGTGGCTGCTGCTGCGGTCCTGCGGGCCATTTCCGCCGACTTCAAGAAATCTCGGACCCGTGCAAGCTCGCCGTATCCTAAGACTAGCGTAGGTTCGCAACAACCCGGACTAAACGTGTAATTTGGGCGAACAAGTCTTTTGACGGGAATGTTCCCTAAGCAAGTTACCTTACTCGCAAGCAATGGAAGTACGTGTGGGAGTGTACGCGGCGCTGTAGTTGAAAGGACTCTCTCTACTCTGACTGTAGCCTTCGTGAATGCTTCTAGAGGTTGGCGTTCAGAAATTTGCGAACGGCCACAGTCATTCAAGAAGCAGCACCAGCTCGACAAGACAGGGGGAGATGAAGCTCCAGGTGATATCCTGTACGTTTTGCTGGTTCTGGTAAAGTCGCGTGGGATTGCTTTGGAGGAGCTTTATTGTCAAAGCTGTCAGCCCTCGCTTGTGGTTGGTTGGCGGTCTCTTATCAGCGGTTGAGCTCGCGTCCAGGACCTTATCCCCCGCACCCTCCATGCCTCCCTTTCCTCTCTCTCTCTCTCTCTCTCTCTCCGGTACCAGCTAGGAGGAGCTGAGCAGGACGGGCGGTGACTGTCACCGAAGTGCCAACAGGCCGCTGGGTGCGGTATCAGCCCGTAATTAGGTCCGTTCGTGACTGACTTTTGCGGCGGCAGAGGGGGGCAGAAAGGCGGGGTTTATTCACCGCTTTCTTCATTTTTCTCTCATCAGCGCCAAGCTCGATCTCGTTGCTCTCGGTGACAGTAGTTGGTCCTCTTTGGGGCCATTTCGGCATTCATGAAACCATTCGAACTGCGGCTAATAAGTGCCTCCTAACCCAGCCTGACCAGGTAGCTCCTACTAGGGTAGGTGCTTGAGCGATGCAGCCGCCAGCGGCATAGGGGGAGGCGTTCGTGTAACGTTCCGTGGGCCATCACGAGATGGTGGCCCCGATTTAGTCCGATTTGAGGGTCCCGACTTGCTGCGTAGGTATGGGTACTTGAAGAGAAAAGAAATGCTGTCTGCATGGCACCCGTGCCTAGGTGAAGCATCAATCGATGAAATGACTCTGTAACCGAGTCCACGGGTGAGTCGAGATTCGTGTCTGTCAAACTCGGGGGCCAATCATTGCTTCTTCCCTGAAGAACATTATTGAAAACAAAGGCCAGAAGAAAGCACGACCCAGGCCAAGCAGTGTGATGTCACTTTAGTGCTTCGAGGGAGTATGGCTGAATCAATACCCGCTTTAGCTGCAAGTGCTGTCTACGGTTCCGAAGTGCCAGCCGCCCAGTCGGTCAGGGTCCAGGGGGGGTGTAAGTTGTAAGTGGCAAAAGAGAAGAATGTGGCAGAGGAAAATATGGTCGCGAGTTGGGAGGTTTGAGGAAAAGGTACAATTGGCTGCGGGCTTGTGAGTCGTTGCTCAGAGCTGGTCGAGAGAGGGCTGACTAGCCAAGAGCGATTGTTTTCCGTCCGGATAACTAAGGTATACCGTTTGACAGCCTGCCATTGGTAATCCTGTCTGACTTATTCAAGTAAGCTGATACATGGCCCCAGGGGAGGTAAAAAGGCCGAGAGAGATGGTAGCGCAAAGGCGGCATCTGAACAAGGCTTTTTGGGCCTCTGGCCGAGGAGCTCTCTCAGGTATTTCTTGAGCAGGCGCCACCTCGGTGAAAAGCCGTGGTTTCGGGATGCAGCTGGCAGCTGGTGCTTATTTCCAAAGAGGTTGGTTTGGCGAGGGAAGACGAAAGTGGATCAAGTCAGCCTGCAGGCTTAATTTTTTTCCTTCTGATCTCAACATCGGATTCTGGTGTCGGCCGGCCGGATGGCTTTGGGAGTTGAATTTTTCTCGCCTTTGGTTGAACTTTTTTTTTTTTTTTATTCCTTGCTGGATAGAATCTGCCGATTGTTGATAGGTCGAGGTGAAGAGGATGCAAGGCGAAGAACAGGAGGGTCCTCGCGCCGAATGTGGGGACCTTCCCTGGCAATTTCAATACGTACCCCCCTTGTCTGCGCAACAGCTTTGCTCATCGCGGCATGGGGCGGAAGGAGAAAAAAAAAGAGCAAAAACATAGGTTCCTATCTACTACGTAGGTACCTGCTCGTACCTGCTCGATGAGGAAGTATTCGTACGTATTTCTGACCTTATCCGTTATGACTTTTTACCATGTCTGCAGGATCAAAATTCGCTTTCTCTGCCTTGACATCCAAATCCCTGGAAGCTTCGTTGCATCTACACTAGGCATGAAAGGACAAGGTAGCTGTGGATTATACGCAGGTTGACGTGCTGAAGAGCTCCCTGGGCCCTGCGTATTCCTTGTGTAATACATAGCGGCAATGGAGCTGCATCGCAGAAGACGACAAAAGAAGAGTGTTAGTTACAGAGCAAGAGAGAGGAGGGGGGAAAAATTGATTGTTGCAGATATCCACATCCATCTTGACCTTCACCGTACCGATTACACACCAGGCGTGCTGCATGTTTCCGTACTCCCTACAGATTCTTTGTCTTCTTCTCTTTCTCACTCTTCCCAAGCTCTGTCCTAATCCCCACCCCATCAAGCCCGCCTTCCCTCTCCGCTTGTGGAGCAGACGATTCGCGCCAACGTCCACGGGTCGGGGGGTAAGGTCTCCACCGATGCGTGCTTTGGAGGCGCTGCAGACGCTACAGATGCCACGGACTTGCTGCAGCTTCAGGGTTCACCTTTGCAAGAAAATACTTCCAACTTGTCGAGGCAAGGCAAGGGCCCTGCATGTAGTGTACGGAGTAGGTAATGTATGGTGTGGGCGGTGCCTTGGTGCTTCGGGCTGCCTGATGCCGACCCCTCCGCTGGCCCGTGTCCCCGTTCCCAATGCCCAACGGCAGCCCCGATCATGCTTCTCCTTGTAGAAGGACCGTTCATCGCTTTCATTCCGGAGATTTGGCCTGGGCCTGCTCATCTGGCCACGGCAATGCAATCGCAAAGCGGTAAAATTAGCTCTTGAACTGATCAAACGAAGCAATGAACCAAAAAGTGATACTGTTCATGTTTATGCGCAAAGAGTAGGTAGCTATGCTGGGCTGCGTTGTGCACATTATTCGCCAAGCCAAAAAGCACGACGGAAAAGAGCTCAGAATAGGTAGGTACCGTATGGATAGTCAAAAGAAAGCCTCGCTTCGCTTAGAGGGTACACGCGCAATGCTATCCGCACTTGCGGGTACAGCGTATCTCTGAAGTCTGTGATTGCCCAGGAAGCTACGAAGACAAAGTGACAGAGTTGAGTACACTACAGTGCTCCGTACACCATCTGGGGCCCCTCCCCGTTAGCTGGGATGTCAACGTGACGACCAGCGGGGATCCAAGCAGCGGGCAGACGTCGACCGAGGTCAGGACCACGTCCGACCAGTAAGCGGAGGCGAGAATGAACCAGGGGTCCAGCTCCGCTATGCTGCGGGAGGAGGAGGAGTATCTAGGTAGGAAAAGTGAGATGGGCGAATGCAAGCTGCCACCACGCCGCAGCAAGGCAAGGCAAGACGCAAGACATGCGAGCAGACAAGAAGCCTTTCGCCTTGGTCTCGGAGCTTGACTTTGTGAAGCATCCTGTTGGCATAGGAGTACTCGAGGACAAAGTAAGGTAGGTGTCCGTATGGAAGGCATGATTGTGCTTCTCAGTTCGGATCATGGAGCGACGACGGGATTTGGCAACGGTTGAAGGGTGGGGCGAGCAAGGCGAAGAACTCAGAGTAGTCAAGCTTGGGGCCCGTGGTGAGTTGGTGACAGACTTTGCGAGTTACTTCCCTGTTGCCAGTTCTGAGCGTCGTGGGTAAGAAGGTACGACCGGGAAGGAAAAAGGAAAAGAAAGAGGCAGGCACAGGCAAGCTTGCTCAACTTTCAAGAGCTCCCCTGTGATGCGGCAAGGACCTCTTTCCACTGTCAACCACTCGCAAGCTCCGAAAAGAAAGAGCAAAGCAAAGCAGCCCACTTCCTGCCCTGTTCCCACCCCACCCCCCTCCTTCTCTCCTTCCCCTTACTGTTGCTCTCGCTCTTGCTCTTGCTCTTGCTATTGCTCTTGCTCTTGCTCTTGCTCCTCCTCCCCGCTACCTGCTCCTGCTCCTGCTCGTCCACCACAGGCTGTCAATTGCTTCCCTGTCACACCCCCTCCTTCTCAATTCCTCGACTTCATCCTCCCCCTCCTCTTTCCTCCGTCATGTAAGTCCTCCACCCGATTGTCTCGACTCGAATCTTGCCTGGTTCTGCACCCACGCCCCCTGCCTCGTTCTCATCCTCCTGCCCTCCTTTTCCCCTTCTTCTTTCATCCCCCTCTTCCCACAGACCCTGGGGTCAACCAAGCCAATCCAATCCACTAGACACACTCGATCCCCCATCGAGTCATTGATCTCTTCCACCAACGCCAACCAATTGTCGGCTCTTGACATCGTCGGCGGGTCGACTTGCCGACCTTTTCCCCTACCTTACAGTACGTATAGGTACGTCTTGTTCCTTCCCCTGCGCTTTTCGACTGAAATGCTCTCCATCCATCCCACAGCTGACCCCCCGAGCTTTGAGGTTACCCTCCTGCCATTGGAAGATGACGCCGTAGCCCGGTGGTACCTTGAATGAGCACCAAGCTGGTGTCGTTATACAGTAGCTCTGCCGAATCTTTCAAGCACCCAAACCCAAGCAATAGCGGAAGCGGCAGCGGTAGCAACAGCAAAACCAGAAGCAGAGACTCGCGGTCCCACGGGCGTCAACTGGTTATGGCTGCCGCCATTCTCGGACAAGTCAGGCACCTCGTGGTGCAATCTTTTTCATCCAACAAAGAGAAGAGGCGGAATGACTGACTCGAGAAGAAACATCTTGTTACTCGTCTCTCGGAGCAATACGTTTAGCCCATCGGACATGTTTCCAGGTTCAACAGCCCAGCCCAATGAGCCCAGTGTCTTGGAAAGCTCGGCCTCGGCGACCAGCCGTGTGTCACTTGCCATGCAACGATCTGGCGAAGCCGACTAGATCCTTCTGAAGCTGGCGGTGATGAAGCTTCAAAGCCTCTGCTTGGCTGATCACTTACACCATCTCGCGTCACCGTACCGACCGCCGCCGCCGCCCCTCAGAACAGTGCTCATCTAGCAGCGGCAGATGGTAAAAATGTTGATTACTCGTAGCTGACAGTCTGGCGACTGGTGACATTGACGCCGTCTGCCACGGGCCCAACCTTGAGGTGGACTTAGGCTCACCTAACCATGCGACGAATACCAAGTCTTACCTCACAGCTTGTCAGCTGTTCACCTCTGTCGCTCCCCAAACCGACTACTTCCTTGCTCCTTGTACCTTGCGGCCACACCCTCGCTCGTCCGTCTCCTTGTTCGCGGCTGATAATATCCCTTTTCATCTGCATCTTTCATCACATCTGCTTCAGGTGTGCTGTATCCGTAGAAGCAAGCCCAGAAGCAGCATAGGCCCAGGCACAGAAAAGGTACGAGCGCGCAACTCAATTATCGTGGCAACACTTTCGGCGTGCGAAGCAAGCAAGGTAGGTAGGTAGCTAGAAGCCTTTCCTACAACATTGGTAGCCGTAGATCGGATTGGAGCTGTATTCGTCGGCGGCTTTTGGATCTTGTCTTGCTTTCGTCGATTCAGCCATTGCTTACCTACCTTACCTAGGTACTCTCTACTGTCCAAGACTAAGGCAGAGTAAGTACATGAACGAGTGAGAGAAGAACAGGCAAGGTTTTACCAGACTCCGAACCAAGCTCCCTCCTTGCTCACACACCTTGCTATCATCCGCCCGTACTTCTTTTGCCTAGCCGTGTAAGTAGGGACTCATTTGGCTACAGATCATGCTGCGTAATAACTGGCCTTATGTGACTGGGCTGCGACCATGATGTACCTGGGTGAGCAAGGTAAGGCAAGGCAAGGTAGCTTGTCCTGACCTGACCTGACCTGGACCTGCCCTGGGTACCTTCCATGAGATACCCACCAGACCGAGCCACACCCCTACCTAGCCCGTCCAGTACCTCTCTTTTCCCCATTACCGCTACTTACTGCTTTCGGTCAACTTCCCTTCTGCCCCCAAAATCAGGTTCCTTCTCTTCCTCTTCCTCCCCGTCCTTTCCTCCCCCTCCATTACACCTTGTTCTTCGAAACACTCTTTGTAACACGCCTCAAGACGAGAGCTTCCAGAGCTCTAGACTCTTGCTCACCAAATATCGTAGCCTTTTGTCGAACCGTCAAATGCTCAAGCTCCAACATATTCAGTCGCCTTCAATTGACCTCGCTTCGCGATACGCTACGACAGTAACAGCACTTATCGCTCCTCACCCCGCTCAGTATCGATACCAGCCCTCAAGCGCATGGTGGGGTCAAGATGCCGCCCAGATCTTCTCTCACGTCTTCTTTTTCAATCACCGACTCCAACAATGAGGTCGTCTGTCCTCTGCGGAATCAGGATGGATCTAGCTGTAGGAAAAGATGCATCGGTGTAAGTCTCATTGTGCTGCCTGCATTGCCGCATTGCTCCCTCACGACGCCCTCTTCGCCACAAGCAGACCAACACTGCCCCCGTCTGCGCTGCTGCACTTCTCTACTTGGACCCAGTGCACAGAGAGAGCTTTGATTACTACAGCGAAAAATCCACTCGACCAAGGGAAAATCGAGAACGCTACTCTGACACTTGATAAATTCCTTAGGAAAAACGATATCGCTCCATGCAAGAACACATTCGCCGCGCTCATCCAGAACACTACATTTCGAAGCTCCCAGCGACCGAGGAAAGCTTCATGCTCATGATCAACACTCCTCCATCCGAACGTCCAATGCAGCAAAGCGCAACTTCTGTTCCCCAGGGTTCGTCCCTCTCAATCCAGGGCTATCCCCCAAAGATTGACCATCTTCAAGGCTTCAATCACGACCATCACATGTATGATAACAGTAACCCGGGCACGCCTCGAACCATGGACGACCACGCCGTTGGTTCCATGCTCCCCGCTGCCAGTGCTGCTGCGGCGCTGGCTCAGCTCCACGGTCACAAAGTCGAACCCGAATGGGAGGAAATGGTGAGTTAGAACATCCTCCCCTGACTGACTTACAAACTCGAACCACGATTGCTAATCAAATGTGCGCTACTAGGGTTGGCACTCAGACACGGAGGGACGCCGCATTCCAAGGACATCAATTGAGCTGCCTCCGCTGCACTTGACGAATAACGACATTACTAGCGAGCCATTCCCAGCTATGAACTCCAGTCGGCCACGGGATATTCTGCCGTCAATTCTGGCGAATTCGCCCCCCGGTCGCTCTTCAACATTACCCCCAATCCAACGGCCTGCTGTAGGACCTGCCCGACCAAGGAAGCAGTCCGTCACCAAGAGAGGCCGAGAGGCGCACCACAAGAAGCAGAAGTCTCGCGGCTCGGCAGCAGACTGGCTTCGGCGGATCCAAAACGACGAACGGCTTAGACCAGGTAACAATGACCGTAAGGCGTTATCGGCTGAACCTTCTGCAGACTATGGGAAGAGATGGGAAGATCTCATCGATGCCGCCGATCAAGCTGCATCAGCTGCCGGCGACATCGATGAGGATAGGACTCCAGTAAGAAGCTTTCATGCGCTCGCATCTCCACATTCTCTGACCTTTATCCAGATGCCTCAATCACCAGTTTCTATTCACCGGGCTTCTTTGCCGCCATTCCAGCACCATGGATTTCCATCAGCGACAGCTGGAGGGAACTATCAAGCCTCGCCATTGCAGCAGGCCTTGACCCCGCCATCCTACAGCCAGGACACAATTGACCCATTCCCGTCGGTTGAAAGCGGTGAAAGCGGGGAGAACTTCCACATCGAGTCGCGAGGCCTATCGGATTCATCACCAAGTTATTCTTCTCAGAATACCCAGATCTACTGCGCAGCCTGTCAGAGCGTTTCACTTCTCAAGGACTCATACGCCTGCACAGAATGCATCTGCGGTCTGTGCCAGGCGTGTGTCGACGTTCTCATGGCAGAGCAGGGGGCTCGCCGCAAATGCCCCCGTTGCGCAACAATCGGCGGCCGGTTCAAGCCGTTCCAGCTTGACATCCGGTGATTATTATGTCTTGTCAACGACCATCATGCATACGTTACGCACAAATATTGGAGCTCTGAGGCCCACAAATTGCATTTGAAATCACACACGGCGTCTTGGATTGGGCCAATGCGCATATACAGCATCAAAGCTTGGCATAAGGATTCACCGCATCGATAATACCCCCGGCGTTGCAACTTCGCGAGAGCTTAGACAGAGAGCTTTTCACGAGCCGGTTTCTCCACATTCTTTACATTATTATACGGACTAGTGACTCGTGACAGTCTTGGATAGGTGTGGTTCTCCCTTTTCCCTTGATGCTACAGGCAGAGTATGGGATATCAAAACGATTACAGGATTAAGGGTCGGCTTGCACGTCGTTATGATCTTGCTTTTCTTTCTTTTCTTTTTTGGCTTATTGATAATTTGTTCTGGGTGGGTATAGGCAAACTGTTTTTTTAGGAGTACTCCATTGGTTTATAGATGCCAATCATGAATTGAAATCAATCTAAGCTATAACATCAAATTTTGTATCATGGGTATCATTCAAAACTCGTCTTTGTCACTAATGTATACAAGAAGCAAAATTGGATGAGCTCATCATCTTCTCGAGTCCTTCTCCTTTTCTTTCTTCAAAAGCAAATCGCGCATGGCGGCTCTAGCGTTGCGGCTACCGCCCAGCTTCGGACCCTTGAGGACTTCTTCATCGGCCTTGCGAGCCCCGGCGCGAGCCGCCGGCGCTGCCGTCTTCTTCTTTTGTTGGCGCTGGACCATGGCGTCCATGAACTCGCGCCGGAATTCCTCGGCGATGCGGTCGTCTGCGTCGCCGTCGCCTTCGTTTTGGGGTTCCTGTGGTTTTGGTACATCGTAGACGTCGACTAAGTAAGGTTTCCAGATTAGCATGTGCTTGCTGGCCCCATTGAAGGAGACGGTGCAAACCTCACGTCTGTTCTCGCGCAGAATCTCCTCGACGAGCTGGTCGCGTTTGATGTCGTCGCTGGTGCGCCTGTTCCTGGGCCGCCAGGGTTTACCGTCCCTGCCGAGGCGGGGTTTCTTGGCTCGCCGGCCGCCGGTATCGTCGTCGACGGATTCGCCTAGGAGGCGGCGGGCTGCCTTTTCCGTCATGGCTTGGTTCCGGGCGCGGACTTCGTCGCCGAGGTCGACTTCCATTAGTTTCCCTTGCATGATGGGGTGGTTTTTGGGGTCTGGAAGTTCGGCTGGTCCGGCGGAGGGTGCTGTTGTTGACGGATTCGTTACGACGGTGGCGGCTTGGTGTTGGGAGGAGGTTGGAAGTTCGGATTGTGGTGGGGGGTTGCGGTTAGAGAGGTGCGATTCTATGTATTCCATCCTTGCTTGATCAGCCTCTGGCGTCGGGGTGGAAAGGAAGGATGAGAAGTGGAGCTTCCCTGGGGGGGTTATACTTACATGTGTTTGTTGACGATTGTAGTCGCTGCTGCGCCGGTCTGCGGCGCGAAGCGCTTTGCGATGAGGGGGTCGTCGTCTGGGGCTTGTGCTGGGACGGAAACCAGTGCGCGCGATGATGATGATAGGCTCACTGGGTCTGTATCGTCTCCTCCGGCGCCGGCGAGGGCGGTTGTGCCTCGCGCAGAGAAGCCTACGCCGTTGAGTCGCTTCCGAGCGCGGTGGCGGAGGGCGGAGGGGATGTGTGCTTCGGGGCCCTCGTCGGCGGTGGTTTCCGTGGCTGGTGCAGATGTCGTATTGTTTTCTGCTGTCGATGTTGATTTCGAGGCTGCGGCGTTGTCGTCGTCATCGGCGGCGGGTGATGCGGCGCGTTGACGGAGGCCTGCTTTGCGCTTCTTGTTTGCGCGGAAGAGGATCGGGGCCGGGGCCGGAGCCGCGTCTGTGGTTGGGGTTTCGTCGGCGGGTGGCGCCATGATGGAGTCGAAGTGAGCGCCGGAGCGCGCTGGTACTGGTTGTCTGCGCGCTGGATTTAAAACTCGGCGGGTTGTCCTGGGTGCGACGTTTTTGGACGTTGATTTCGAGGATGTGAAGATAGGTGGATGTGTGTGTTGTAAATCGGAACGTGGACAGAAGGCGCAAATTCGCCTGGGCGATTGAGGCCGCGCCAGGAAACTCCACCTTGCGAGATGCCGAGGATTAGCCTATCGATAATGGACTGGACAAGGGGGGTCAAGCATGTAAGTGCAACCCACTGGCATGGATGTCATCGGTGTGACGGTGTCAGCGACCCCCACCAGGTTGGTTCCCGCTTTTTGTCTTTGCCAACGGCAAGCATGTCGCAAGAAGCTCGAGGGGGAGCTCCGAGCTACTTTTAACCTCTGTGCATCCTCACTCTCTGAGGCCTTGCAACTTCATCTACAGTCGTTGAAAATCAGATCGCAAGTCAACATGGTGAAGAGGGTATGCAATTTCTCCACTGACAGGATTTTAGACATACTGAAGAGAAGTTAGATATACTTTCTGGCCCATGGCGGTCAAGTGCAAGGTACGTTTCTTGCAGCCCCTCCCTTACCCTCCACATGAGCTCCGAGCTTTTATCTGGATAAGAAGGGAGGGGTGTGAACTTGTGATAAGTGACTTTTTTATTTCGGGGCACACTGACGTCACAAATTCAGGTGTCGGATTCCGGTATGTGATGGGATTTTCCGACAACACGGTTTTTCAATTTCGTTTGGACCAGTTGGGTGTCAATTGAATTGGCGATATTCACCCTTGTAAGAGTATGATACTGACGAAGCGATGCGGTTGACAGGTACTTTACGCAAAAGAGAGCCACAGAGTATGGTCTTACGGGATGGTGTCGCAACACTGATAACAACAAGGTGAGCTTTGGGTACTTTTTCTTCAATCATTTCCAGGAGTCATTGATCGACATGGGATTTGACGAGGAATTGCGCTTCTGAGAAACCTGGCTGCTGACTCGGCTGGGGCATAGGTTGAGGGAGAGGCGCAAGGTGATGAGGATGCGCTGAAGAAGCTGCTTAAGGACATTGACGAGGGACCGAGATCCGCCAGGGTTGTCAAGCTTGACCAGGAGGAGAGAGATCTTGTTCAGGACGAAAAGGACTTTGCAGTTCGGCGATGAGTTGCCGCTTGAGTGACTTCTGTTTGACGAACAACATTAGTAAGGAGACCGAGATTGAGAGGGGTAGGTGGTGAAATATTATCGCCATGACTGCGTCTTAACAACTTTCTTTTCCTGGGAAGGACCTTGCTTGCCCAGTAACACGACAAGCATATCTCGATGACAGTGGACTTGATAGAGTACCCAATATACTTACGGGGAATGTTTGACTTGAGCAACATGTTCTGCTTCTTGATCAGATAGAACAAGGAAAGACTGGTATGCTACAAGCCAAGCCCACGTCCCCCCTCTCAGTTTGCTTTCGTATCAAGACCGTTAGAACACGCGAAGGCAGAGAAACCCATTTACCATGTACCAACATTATTATAGCTATATTGCGTGAAGGAATAAGACCTCCGCAAGTTTACAGATCAGCGTTCTCTACCTCTAAGAGAGTGCTTTCCTTCTGGGTCATGACCTTGCGGACCACAAGTGGCTGCGTAGCCGCCCCCTGGGAGACTGCAAAGATGATAGGATGACAGAGCTGATACGAAAAGGGTGCAAGATGCGAGATGGCCCAAGGTACTACAACTTCAGGTCAAGGTTCAGGCTGTTGCGCATTGTTTTCTTCAGCAGCTTGGCGTTCGTGTCACCCTGACCTCTGGCTATGTTGCACTTCTTCAGGAACTCCTTCACCAGGGCCTCGTCCCTTGCCGTCGGTATCAGTGAGCCCCCAAGTGCGTTGACTACACCAGTCCGTCGGCGCCTTTACACCTCCAGCATTGTCTCATGGGTGTTGCCGCTTAGTCTTACGGAATGCATGCTAGACGCTGGAAAAAGACGGGCATCTCATGGAATCATGACCTCGTCTTCCACCTAAGCCAGCTTGACGCGAGCCCGCGGCATGCGCCGCGCGGTTGCTTCCAGCACTGGTTTCTTGGCTGTGGGAGGACTGACCGGCGTCTTCGCACAAACCGCAACCTTGCCACCACCGCGCATCAACTCAATTAAAATGTCGAGCGACGAACACACCTCATCGGTTCAGCATTGCTGCCCAGTGTGTCTCCTGTCAAAGCGATGTCTTACAGAACAACAATGACGCGATGCTTTTTTACTGGAAGCTACAAAGACATTAGGAGTTACCTTGATATAAAAAGGCCCCAAGATTCGACATGCCCTGTCCTGATAAACACAACGACAATTGGCGATACTGGTTTCCGCCCAGAAGAAGTACGCGCCAACAGAGACTTCAGCGGTGTGCCCCTCTATGATACCCCGGGGGGCATTCGAACGTTGTGAACATCACCGAGTCACTTCAAATTACATCGGCCCGTCAGCGTTGCTATTCCTTCGACTCTGCCGCGTAAGCATTATCCCTAGGCTTTGAGGAAGACACTACAGACACTAGAGAAAGGCCAAGATTTCTCGGAACAAGATTGGCCATGTGAGGTTTCCCGAGAGCGATTATCACGAGCCCACCGCCTGGTCGAAGCCGACCGCAAAAGGAGGTCGCGGCGTGAACACTTCCTACGTTACTAACTTCAAAAACGTCTACAAAGACCTGCTATGGTTGCTCCCGATCTTGGCTATTAGGGTTATGCCCAACTTCTTGATTTTTGGCTTTGATGGGAGCACGGGAGGCATCTAATAAGTGGCGGGACATGCTCAATTGATAATTTGAAACTGCTGAGCTGATTCCTCAAAAGTCTTACGATGAGCCAGTCCCTGCACAAGCCTTCTGGTATTCCCTTCCATTTCATTCCGGAGGGGTGTGAAATCAACCCGCAATAAGAACCATCAATACTTTGGTGCTCACGTCAAGTATTTTGTATCTTGACACTGTTATCTTACATGGCCTTGCTCACGCCAAAATGATGCTCGCCTTTTGCGGAACTGTATCTATGCCTCGGGGCATCTTCAGTCACCGGGTCTAGAAGCCGCGACGATAAATAGGAGTCAAGTCTCAAAGGATTCAAATCCCTCGGGGATTCATATATTCTATCCAAAACACCAAAAACAAAAGATCGCTAAACGCCTCTACCCCTTCGCTTAATAACAGGCTTCCTCACAGCCCCATGTGTGACAATCTTCTTCCCCCCCGCCGCCGCCGCCGCACCCCCACCAGTCCTCCTCCTCTCCAACCTCTCCTTCTCCGCCTCCACCCGGTCCGCCTCCCTCTTCTTATCCTCGGCCATCTTAGCCTCGATCTCCATCTTGCGGTTGAACTCCGTCTCGGTAATGCGCTTGTCCCGGACGGAATACCCCTTCTCCTTGACAGAGTAAAACACGCCGCCCAAATCGGCGAGCCAGTGCGGGTCCACCGCCGTGACGGTCGACACGTACACTTTCGACGTCAGGATGAGCTCGTGGTAGACGACGTAGTCGGGCGGGTGGCCCGCGTACAGCGCCGACGTCGGGTGCAGCTGGACGCCGAGGTTGGTCCGCAGATTGATATACTCCCCGGAACCCTTGTACTTGGCCGCCTGGTGGTAGTAGCCGCTGCAGATGCACTTGCGGATGACGTCCCAGTCCATGCCGCAGCTCAGCATCTCCATCTTTTGCATCTTCATGATGTCGAGCAGCTGGTCGCGGATCTCCTTTGCGCGGCGCAGCGACTTGGGGTGCAAGAAGTGCTTGATGCACCACCCATCTGAGCAGCCGTTGGACCGCCATGCCGAGTACACCTGGAGGTACGTCAGGTGGTCCGACTCGTGGACCCAAAACTTTTCGCGCTGGGCATCCGCCTCATCCTGGCGCTCTTTGGGTCGGTAAAAGACGTTGGGGACGGAGAGCATGGACACGATGGTGATCATCTCCTCGCTGCAGCCGTACTCCTCGGCCGTGATGAGGAGCTTGGAGAGGGACGGATCCATTGGGAACGCGCTCATCTTTCGACCGAGCGTGGTCAGCTCTCCCAAATTGTCCAAGGCGCCCAAGGCCCACAGATCGAACATTGACGTTGTGATGGTGTCCTGTGGTGGGGGATCCATGAAGTCGAAATCTAACAGATCCTTGACGCCCAGGGACTTGAGCATGAGTACCGTGTTGCTCAGATTCGTACGCTGGATTTCGGGAATCGTCTGCATGTAGAGCTCCTCTTTGAACGCCTTCTCCGTGAACAGTCGGAAAGCCTTTCCAGGTCCTGTTCGACCGGCACGTCCTGATCGTTGCGACGCGTTTGCTTGGGAGATTGGCGTGATCTGAAGAGTATCCATACCCATCTTTGGATTGTACACCTTCATCTTGCTGTACCCAGCATCCACCACGTATTTGATACCGTCGACCGTCAAACTCGTCTCGGCGATATTCGTCGCAACAATGCACTTGCGCACACCTGGCGCCGCGCGGTCGAAAATCTTTGCTTGCAAGTCTGCCGGCATCTGACTGTAAATGGGCAAGATGCTTAGCTTCGGGGGATCGTTGAGAGCATCGAGACGTTTCTGGATCAGCTCGCAGGTGACCTCGATATCTTCTTGTCCCGTCATGAAGACCAAGATGTCGCCCTGGTCCATGGACACGTGGATGGCCAGGACCTGCTGAACCGCCTGATCCACGTAGTCCTCGACCGGTGACCTGTGGAACATGACATCGACGGGGAAAGTTCGGCCTGGGATGATGAACTCCGGCGCTCCACCGTAAAAGTCGGAGAAGCGCTTCGCATTCATCGTCGCAGACGTGACAATGAGCTTCAGATCTCGCCGTCGCTGGAGAATCTTTTTGAACAGACCCATGAGGATATCCGTGTTGAGAGCTCTCTCGTGGGCTTCGTCCATGATGACGCACGAGTACCTGTCGAGATCAGGCTCGTTGAGCGACTCGCGCAACAAGACACCGTCCGTCATGTACTTGATGACGGTGTCCTTGCTGGTACAATCTTCAAAACGAATCGCGTAGCCCACCGTGCTGCCCAGCTTGACTTCCATCTCCTCAGAGACACGCTTGGCGACACTCATCGCGGCCACACGCCTCGGCTGCGTGCACCCGATCATGCCCGACTTTCCAAACCCGTCCTCGTAAAGGAACTGCGTCAGCTGCGTCGTCTTGCCGGATCCCGTCTCGCCCACCACGATGATGACTTGGTTCTCCCGGATGACACGCATCAAGTCCTCCCGAACGGCAAACGCAGGTAGGTATTGCCTCTGCTCGCGCAACGTCTTGCTCCGACTGAAATCACTGCTGCCCCCATCACCCTTCTTCATGTGGTCGCTGAATTTGTTGCTGTTCTCGTTCGTCTCCTCCTTCTCTCCTCCCTTCTTCACATCGTTCTCCGACGCCACAGGCAACGCGCTGTCGCCGTCGTCCTCCTTCACGCCCATCAAGTTTCCCAAAGCCGTTCCAGCCATGCTCGTAGCCTCCTGCGCCTGCCGCTGCCGTTCCCGCTGCTGGCGTGACTCCTTCACCACCTTGCTTCCCTTCCGGCTAAACACAGCCATGTCGCTCTGGTAGTCGCGGACAGCCGGCACGGGTTCCAGCTGCTTTGTGAAGATGGTTCGTCCATCGAGGAACGGAGGCCGCAGATCGTGCACCAAAAGGTGGACTCTCGTCGCCTCCTCGTCGTCGAAATCGGCACCCATATCCCTCCTCTGCGCGACACCCGAGACGAGCATGCGATTCGTCTCCCACGCGTCGTTTTCCCTCTGCCTCTGCTCCCTGCGCGCGTCGAAGCGCCCCGTCATCTTCTCGGCCTTAACCGCCTCCTGCTTCTCGGCCTCCCATGATGAGTACGAGGCGAAAGGATTGTGTGTGTCGTCGCCGAAGGTGTGGCCGCCAAACTCGTCTCCCATGTACCAGTCGCGATCCAGCGCTTTCGAGTCTTCGTCGGTGGGTTCGGGGACGTCTCTTGCCGGTGTCTCGGCGGCGCGGGCGTCGCGCGGTGTCGAGCGGCCCGAATCTTGGAATCGCCCTCTGTCTATCCTCCGGCGCTTGAAGCTGGGTCCTGATCCATCTCTGTTGTCGTACATTTTGTGATTCCTGTGATGGTGCAATTCGTCGCCTTGGCGTTTGCTGCTCTTGGCGTGATTATTATCTTCGTTGACCCGTCGCCGGAGTAGAGTTTCCTTGGATGTGTGAGGCCCAGCGTGCGTATGTGATGGATTCAATTTCGAGTATCGGAAATGTAGTGAGGCATGCAGTTTAGAATTGCATGTAGGCAGGCAACCCCAAGTAAACAAAGCTTGAGAAATGGGGCCACACCTTGCCAGACGGTTTAAACGGGTCTGGCTCTCTTATGTGTATATCCATAACAGACGTCACTCATGGGTCCGATAATGCAATGAACGCGACTTGAACACGGCCTCGACTTAAGAGGTACCATTCAACCTGCTAATGCATTTCTCTTTATTTTTCTCCTTTTTTTTCAAGAAACGTTCAAATAGGGTCTCAAAGAGCCCTCGTGCCTTGATTGATGATATGGTAAGACACTTTCAGTTGAAGCGTGCAAGAATTACCTTAGCCAGCTACCTTTCGGAGTACATGTGAACTAGTTACATTAAAGCCTGCCCCAAAATCTTCGAGGTGTCTTATCGATAATGGAAGAGATAAGATAAACCCCACCACGACGGGAATTTTTTTTTTTCTCACAGTCGCCCAGACTCGGTGAATTTTGGAGAATTCGCTTTGCGCATACCGACTTGACTTCTCCCAGTCAAGTAAATCTCAAATATTTTTAAAGTTGTGCAATTACTCTGCCAACTTCGACAGCCAGCGTGCATTTGAAAGCGCGCGCGCAATAAACTCAGTCACTAGTGACCTTCCGAGGAACACATTGTCTTCAAGATGTCCATGATCACAACATCAACCTGGGTGCCCCGAGGCTTCGCGGCACCCTTCCCCTCAAAATACACCTTTGACGAGTCCGAGTACGAGCGCATTGCCGAACTCGCCAAGCTGCAGCTGGATGACGCCGAAGAGGACCTAAGGGAGGCGCAGGACGAGGAGGAGGGCGCCGACAAGCCCGCCGACGACGATGCGACAACAGGCGCATCTGGCAAGAAGGCCGAACAGTTAGTATTGACTTAAACTATCCGCTCGCTGAGCGGGGGTCTGCAGGATACACATGGTCCGCTAACCGTAGACCACCTTGTAGGGTCAATATCAACGACGACGATCTGAAGGAGTACGACCTCGAGCATTACGACGACACCGATGAAGAGGACGAGGAAAAGGTCGGCCAGGGCGAAGGTATGGCCATGTTTGGCAACATCAAGTCGCTAGCCTACTACGAATCCAATAAGGACGACCCGTACATCACCCTGCCCGCCAATGGTGGACCGGACGACGACGATGAGGACCGCGAGGACCTGCAGATCCTAGCGACCGACAACCTCCTGCTCGCTGCCAAGGTCGAAGATGAGATGGCTCACCTCGAGGTCTACGTCTACGAGGACGCCGCCGACAACCTCTATGTCCACCACGACATCATGCTGCCTGCGATCCCCCTTTGCGTCGAGTGGCTCGACATTCCCGTTCAAAAGGCCGGCGTTGACAAGGACTCGACGGCCAACTTCGTCGCCATCGGCACCATGGACCCCGATATCGAGGTCTGGGATCTCGACACGGTTGACTCCCTGTACCCTAACGCCATCCTCGGTCAGGCCGGTGAGGGCTCAGAAGAGAAGAAGAAGCAAAAGAAGAAGAAGAAGGCCAAGAAGGCTAACGACGAGTACCACGTCGACGCCGTCCTCGCCCTTGCCGCGAATAGGAAACACAGGAACCTGCTGGCCTCCGCCTCTGCAGATAAGACGGTGAAGCTTTGGGATTTGCACACGGCCAAGTGCGCCAAGTCATACACTTACCACACTGACAAGGTGTGCTCTCTCGCATGGCACTCGGTCGAGTCCACCGTGTTGCTCAGTGGCAGCTACGACAGAACGGTCGTCGCCGCAGATATGAGAGCTCCCGAGGCCAAGGCCCCTAGATGGGGTGTCGAAAGCGACGTCGAGAACATTCGCTGGGACCCCCACGACCCCAACTACTTCTACGTCTCCACGGAGAACGGAATCATCCACTTCAACGATATCCGCAATGCGCCGTCAACCCCCGAGGCGACCAAGGCTGTGTGGACCTTGCAGGCACACGACGAGTCTGTCTCGTCCTTCGACATCAACCCCATCGTGCCCGGCTTCATGGCCACTGGCTCAACTGACAAGACGGTGAAGCTGTGGAACATCCAGGCTAGCGGTCCTTCCATGGTTGTCTCTCGCAACCTGGACGTTGGCAAGATCTTCTCAACGCAGTTTGCGCCCGATTCAGAGGTGGCTTTCAGACTCGCCGTTGCTGGCAGCCGCGGAACCATGCATGTGTGGGACACTAGCACCAACGCCGCCGTTCGACACGCGTTCGCTGAGCGTGTCCCGCAAAAGCCGGAGGGCGTCGAGGAAGACCGTCTTGTTGGCGTTCTTGACGATGACAGCAGCTCCAGCGAAGACGAAGGAGAGGAGGGCGAGCAGGATGGCGATTCGATGGACGAGGATGAGGACTAGGGTAGACGCTAATCAACATGGATGGTGGGCCTTTCACATGTGTTGTCAGATGTAGCCTGCTCGCTGTCTGATCCAAGATCGCCAGGGGAATTTTCCCGCAGGCTTGGCCAGATGGATCGAAACCGCAGGCCCAACTAGTCTCCGGCGCCCGCCCAGAACTTAGAAAGCCGTAGGCCACATACATCACACTGATGATGACGACTCTGGGCTGGCGCTGTTGAAAACGGCGGAGGAATTAGCTAGCCTGTATCAATCAGGTGGAGAACAGCCTTTCAGTGTAGAAGTTAGTCTCGAGTCGTCCGAAGTTAAATGCCGTCGTCTGAACAGCACCAAGCATGGGCCACATTAGTTTCGTCGACACATATAGCCAAGCCCGTCAAACAATGGCCTCAAACCGGGAAAATAGTTGGTGAGGAGCACATCGTCAGAGACTGATATATGTGAAGAGGCTAAACGTGAGCGAGTGAAACCACGACTGCGTGGCCCCCAAAGGTTGTTCAGTGTTCACATCCATTGACTGCTGCGATGGGGTATCAGTGTCGTGATAGGGTGGGAGGCTCGCTAATTAAGCATGAACAAAGCGTGGAAGGGGGAGCGGCAACAGCCTGACATCTTCATGCGTAGACATGATGAAGGAGGTGGTGGATCGATATCAGATCTAGGATAAGAGCCGGGTCCGGATATTGCTCTAGGTCTGTTCGCGAATGCAATCCTTTTTTTGTTCTTCCGAATATCAAGCTCGAGCATGGCCATGCCCACGTCAATCGTTCGAGGCATCCGTAGTGTAATGATGAATATTACCAGCCAACGGTGCCATTTGGGCGATTTCGAAGTCGCTGAGGGATTTCTCCTGGCTTCTAGACCGAGAGTCTTTGCCTCCCGCAAGCAGCCAGGCGAGAAAAATGCAGTTCCTGATCGACTGGTTCCCACCCCACCACAAGGCGATTCCCCTGGAAGATGCGCAAGGGCAGCAGAGAGTTGTGTGGTTGCGGGGGCGGATGGGCGAGTGAAATCGCTGGGCCCAAGAGCGCAAGGAGCGCTGACTGGTGAAAGGCCATGAACGCCGACATGGATCCCTGTCCGGCTTGCGCAGGCACGCAAGGCACACGGCGCCACTGGGGTGGGATGGCGCAGGATGAAACAGTGAAACTTCAGGGGGGCCTGCCAACGGGCGAGGATGGCGGACGGAACACCCAGCCAATGACGCCTCTGTCTCGGTCTGGTTGAGCTACCACTGGGGACGGCCGGGAACCACCGGCCACGAGACCTTTCTCGGCTGTTGGGCTTTTTAGTTGACGCTGTCTTGATTCTTGGAGGCGTCGACTCCAGTCACTGGTCCAACAGACAAAAAACCCACAACTTTACAACAGCCCAGTCCAGCCCTTCCTTTTTCCTCCGTTCAAGGCGGATTATATCACACTGTTCAGACAAGGATGATGGTGGCTTCCCGGAGAAACCTGGCAGGTTGACGATGCGCCGCGGCTCGCACATCTTGAATCGCACAATCTTCTGCCAGGATGTGAACGGTGCCGCGTGCGAATCGCTCAAAGTTGGCGGGTCGGCGTCCGTCGGGGCCCACGAGTTGATCGAGGTGCCGGTGGATTGGCGATTGTATTGATTAAGAGGTTCGGTCCCTCCTCGAATACTCCCCTGGTGATGACGGCCGTGGTGAAAGACTTGGATAGGAACCGTCCATCCGGATAGAGCAGTACAAATGCGTGTTGGCCACGTCAAGCTTCCTGAAGAAACGCTGTTTCCTTTTGTGTGCCGACCAAGACTTCGTTACCTGTACGCCACACAGAAGGCAATATGGCAGAGAAAATACATGGCGGTCGCAGGCCAACGCTTGTGTAGTTGGCGAAGTGCGGATACGTAAGTGGAGGCAGCAGTCGCTGCATCGGACGTAGTGTTGGCATTGAAGGCACCGGTCCGTCGACGTTGTGTGGATGTATGAATATGCCCTAAGAGTGAAAGATCCAATGAGGCCGACAAAAACGAGGGCAACGGTCTGGAAGAGGTGTCAAAGGAGAGCGAGTGACGCGCCGGACTGGTCTGGGCTGTGCTGGTCTGACGATGTTGGGCATTCTTTCCAGAAGGCAGATCATCGCAATCTTTGATTCCCCCTTATGGTGGCGGCAGGATTGGGTCGACGGTCGACGGTTGTTTGAACTTTGGGCTGACGATTGGCATCGATCCATGTGCCATCCCGCCGTTCGAGTCGTGCCAGCCAAACGTTTCTTGGCGGATGGATGGGCGGCGGTTGTCACGCAGCGAGCCCGGCAGACACATGGTTGCATCCTCTTCCTAATGGATGGAGGGTCGTGGGCCAAAGCCAGCACACACTCAAATTGAACAGTGGATAGCGGGCATGGATGATGGACTGAAAGGGAGGTGAGTGTGACGGAAGAGAGTGAGGTGGACGGCCAAAAAGTTGACCGTGGAATAATTGGTACGTATCCAAGGATACTCGGTGGAGAGTGGAGGAAAGGGAAAAAAGAGAAAGGGCCAGGGGTTCGTTGACAAACACAAGCTGTCATTGGTGCAGAGGCCATCTCCTTTGGGTCTTAGCGTTGGATGAGCGGGGGCATCTTAGGAGACACTGTGAGGAGCAAGGGAGCCTTTCCCTTTCAGTTCGCCAAGTCCCACCGTCGACAGGGGGAGCGCTGGTGAAGCGAAAAGGAAAGACGGCAGGCATGGTGGCATGGCGGCATGGCGCCAGTAATTCTTGCCCACCCGCAAGTGGCAGTCTCCAGTCGTTGGCTCCAGTCCCTGCGAGTAAAGACCGTCCAGAGCCAACCAGAACGGGCGATAGGGCAATCAAAGAGCGACATCCCCCAGGTCCCAAAGGAACCCGAGCCCCATTCATTCTTTTTTTCGGCCAGGAACCAGGCCCGGGTCAAGGTTGCAAGAGAGGGAAAGCGAGAGGTAGAGAGAGAAAGGAAGGAAAGAGAGGAGTACCGTGCCTATCTAGAACCGAGAAAGAGCTACTTCACCTTAGGTAGGTACGGAGTAAGGTACCTACCGACCTGCCTTCCCATAGAGAAGATCGCACCTGCAATATTCAATTATTACTCCCACACGCCCGGCCCTGGTCTGTCATTTTACGCGCCCTCTCTTCCCTCTTTTCCTTCTCCTCAACCTATTCCGTTCCCCATATTGGAAAAAGGATCCTGTCCCTTTCGCTTCTGCTCTAGCAAACACATCATCGCTCCCTTTGTGTTGTGTCTTGTTTCTATTCTCGCCTTTTCTCTAGACGTTCTCCCTCCCCGGAGTACTCGAAAGCATTGCATCTTTGTCGCGGGCTCGAACTTGTACGGCAGAAACCACCCACAACTCTCTACCTATCTCTTCAAATATCGCGCGACACGTTGAACGTTCCTTTTCGGCTAGCTAATACTGCACCGAACCGTCCGTCATTACACACGAACGAAACCACTCACAATCATTTCATCAACCTCATCACACTGAGTCACCCCAAGACTCATCACAGCTCACAAAGCAACAATATCAAGTCTCAACCGGATCGACGCCGACTCATCGTACTCCCAAAGTACCCCAGGACTGGACTCCTCACCTATTGTCTCGGACGAATAGCAACACAACGCAACTCTCGCGCAGGATAATCCACCACGGCCAGCCCGTCGTCTTAATCATTTGTCTTGCTTCTTGTCATCATCACCGTGGACAGACGGACACACAGGCACACCATCAACCCAACCATCACTCCCTCGGCAGATCCTCTTAGTGACCGCCCCCATTCACCTTTTTTCGGCATCACTTCCCTGCTGCTCACTTGACTGCAACTGTCTTGCAGCACAAGATCCACCTCACACGCCAGTAAAGGTCACAGGTCCAATCATAAGTGCAGTCTCTAGCACTTTTTATCACCACCATCTGCCGCTCTTCATAGTCCGTCACTGCACAACAGGCTCTTACTCCCGGATCAGGCGCTTGCGTTCCGTTACTTAACTCAAGCTCACCTTCACAACCAGCAAGGCCTCGCGTTTTGCCTACGTCTTCGCACTGTCAAATTCGGAGTTAGCTTTTGCCCACACTCACCAACATGTCGTCTCTCTCACGAGCCTTTACTACCCGTCGGGTCAAGCAGAGCATCGATCTCTCCGACGCCGCGCGGGGGAAGGAGCGCAGCAACACCATGCAGCGAAGCAAGACCACCAAGCACCCCGTCATCAGACACAAGATCTCTGCCCCCATGGAGCTTGTTCACACCACCAACATGCTCTCATATAACGCTCCCGATATTCGACCCCGGACCGGAACCGATGCCTCGAGCAACTCATCCAGGAAGTCTTCAGAGGAGGACTCGGAAAGCGCCAACTCCGTTGCGTCGTCTCCCCCGACCAGCCCTGACGTCGCGCCTCACGAACTGTCCAAGGAGCCAAACCACCTGTCCTGCTACTTTGTTGCCCCTGGCCAGGCTATCAACTCTTCGATCCCCGAAGTCCCCGCCATTCCTTCCATTCCCAAGCGCGCACCTTCGCACACGAAGCAGGCATCATACGACGCCGTTGCCCGCCAGCGCTCAGTTTCTCAGTTGTCCAAGGCTTCGGACAAGACCGTCTCCTCCAAGGCCAGCATGACATTCTCCTCGCGGGCGTCATCGGGCTCCAGCTCAGCCTCTACCATGTCTCACAGCTCAGTCGCCCCCGCTCCCAAGACCCCTGTGCCGCCTATGCCCACGCCCGCATTCCAGCATCACCACCAGCCGAGACACGAGAAGCCTGCCGAGCCACACCCCTTCGGCCGCGAGTTGGCCCAGGTTACGGAAATTGCAGAGGAGTTTGGCATCAAGGACGACCTCATGTACGAGGAGGAGCGCGCCCTCAAGGCGGAAGGTCTCTGCAAGTTTGCCGCAGAAGACTACCTCACGGAGGTCCAAAGCATCTTCGCCAGCTTCTTCCACGACAGCCACGCACCTCAACGTCCAATGGCTGCCGCCGCTTGGATCTGATGCCTTGATCACTTTTACCGCCTGCTGG